TGCACAATGTCAGGCTCGTTTCCTCGAGTTGTTGTTACTGGTATGGGTGTTGTGTCACCATTGGGCGTTGGGATTCGAACACATTGGCAACGTTTGTTAGATGGTTATTGTGGTATTGTAAAACTGAGTGACACTGCATATGATCCAGTTCCGTGCAAGATAGCCGCACGTGTCCCATCGAATGAACTTGATTTATCTTCATATCGTCAAACGAGTTAAAATCAATGTCACTGGCCAGTTAGTAGCTAGTCAAACAAGCACTTGATCAAAGCTGATTAGGTAGTGATTTTGATTCAGGGAGAGTCGGTGTGTCGATTGGAAATGGTATGTCTGGATTAACTGAAACATGTGAAATGTATGATCAAACAAAATTGAAGGGCATCTATCGAGCCATGTCACCTCATTATATCACACGAATACTGCCAAATATGCCGAATGGTTAAGTGTCGATTCGACATAAGCTCACTGGTCCAAACATGTGCAATTCAACAGCATGTGCAGCGAGTGTGCAAGCCATTGGTGATGGATACAATATGATTCGACTGAATCACGCTGATGTGATGGTATGTGGTTCTACAGGAGCGACTATAAATCTGATGACAATGTCAGGCTTTTCGAAGATGAGAGCATTGACTACAAAGTTCAATGATGATCCAGTGAGGGCATCGAGACCATTTGATCGGTTACGTGACGGGTTCGTTTCAGGTGAGGGATGTGGAATAGTTGCGCTGGAACGTTTGGAACATGCGCAGAGATGAAATGCGAAGATTGTTGGTGAAATACTCGACTATGGTTAGAGTTCACATGGAAGTCACATCACTCAACCAAGTGGACAAGGAGCTGTTCAATCGCTGAAGCAGGCTTTGAACATGGCACAACTAAAGACAGGAGATATTGGATATCTCAATGCACACGCGATATTCTGAGTATCCAGCGGTAGTAAACCTCAATGTCTGTTGTGGTTCTTCTATCTAGACCCTTGATACCATTAATGTCTAAGAAGAAAACGAAATTCTGGTTAAAAATGAGCATAAACTGAGCAGAACTTTAATCCTTAAGTGCGATTAACATTTTCAAACAAATAAGACGATTGTGTCTCTAACACTGGTTTTTGATTTAATTCATTGTTTTCAGATATGTCATCAACATTTTCTGATCAACTAAAATCTGTTCGTTTACGTAAAACAACACCCGCTGATTTCGAAAACAAAGAACAGAATTTATTATGTCCTGATAGTGAAACATATCTCAAATTAATGTCCGATACCTATTTTGATAAATATTACGAACAAATAAAACCGTGGACATTCCAATCAATATCCATTCCACTTTCTCTGGAATATACTCAAGCATTACACGATGGCCATCAATTATTTTTGAAATTACTGTCTGCTTCTTCTTCATCTACTTGTAACAACATTCAATATCCTCAACGTGATCTATATGATAAGCTAACAAATGAATGTTTTGAAAAATATGCTCCATTAAGCAGATTGTGTGATGACATTGATCAATTTAAAAGCAGTTTACGGATGCCAATGTTTGTACGTTTATCAACACGAAGTCCAAAAGATGCCGGACTCATTTTGAAAGAACGATTGAAAATATTGTATCAACAAATGATGCCGTCAGCTACAACAGGTATTTTTGTATTTGAAGAATAATATAATTAGACTTAGATGAGCAATCCATGTATCCGCTCAATTCATTATTCGTTTCAGATGATATGAATCAATGTTTAATAGCATTTGACGAAGCATCGATTCGCCTATTGTGTGTTTCGGATGGTTTCGACTGTGTCCAATTATTATTGGCTAGTGAGAGAATACAAGATGATTTCAAATCCACATCATTAAATCTTATTCTAAGATATTTTGAACGTAATCGTCGATTAGAAAATGAATTTCGAGGTTTTATCTATCGACGCAAATTAACAGCTCTAACACAATATAACGAATCGATTTATTATCCAAATTTACTTATAAATAAATCGAAAATATTAGATTCAATTATAAAATTTTTAAATGATCAACAGGTACTTGAACAATTACCATTGGAGAACTGTGTTTTAGATTTTATATTACTTGAATTGGAAGACGGTAATTATAAGGTGTATATATGTGAAATAAATCCATTAGCAGAATTCGCTGGCACTGGTCTTTTCTCATGGCTAACTGATCGAAGTATTCTACTGGGAAAAGAGCCGTTTGAATTTCGAATAAGAGAAAACGCTGACAAAGACTTATGGAAAAAAATTGATAAGAAATGGCTAAATATGTTAAATGAGTTCAACAAAACTTGCTGTTGAACAAAAAATATTATTTTATTTAGTTATTCCTTTATTAGAACATTACATTGTTTGATTCTGTTAACTACGGTGATTCTGACTATCAATTCAAGCAAAAATCATCTACAGAAAAAATCTAGATACATTTCGTCTGTAACCGGGCGATGCACGACTACTATCCACAGTGGACAATTTTGGCTAGAGCAGGCGGACATGTGCTATTAATTCAATAATAAATTTTGATAGAAAAGAGCTAGAGAGCTCCGATTTTCGCTATTCGAAAGAGGAGACTTGGAGGTATGTTTTCATAATCAAAATTGATTTCGACTTCGAAGACTTTTTTGAAACAGGTTTTCTAGGAGATCTTTGGAAAACTAGGCCGTCTGTAAAAAATTTCCAGAAAACCTTTTCAAAAATCAAAGTATTTTTTGTTGATTTTTAAAGCTTTTATTGAACTGCATAGTATTGAGCAGGTAAAATAGAATACATATTGATATACTGACATAATTTGGATCGACCTTCACTGGATTATGAATCTTTTGATTTTACTCAAAAATGGGATATTTCACCTAATATACGTTTTCGCTAGATTTCAGAAACATTTTTGAAAAACAAATGTTGCCACTAGATTCAGCATAGCCGACAATCTATGTTTTCGAGTATTTCTGACAGTCTAAACATAACGGTAAAGAAGTCCTAAGGCTTCGAAAAAAGAGTCTATAGCACCCGAACCAAGCAAAATCAAACTTTTGCTTAGATCTTATTTTGTAGAGGACACTTCGAACTATTTATGTACGAGAAAAGAACGATAGGTTACTATGTCAGTTTGTAGAAATCCGAGCTGGTTTTTCAAAGATCTTGTAGAAAACCGATCTTCGGAACGTTTCTGAGAGACGATTGTGCCTGCGAAAATACAGCTTAAACTGTCGTCTTTTGATTTCTGGAAACCGCATGTCTTTAACTCTTATGGTTTTTGAGTTATCCAAAAAACAACCGAGTGCATTATATTTTGGGATGGATAGTAGTCGTCATCTAGATTACTAGTTGGAAAAGGAACTTTTAACTAGATGCGTCTGCACGCACGTGCAAATAGCAATAGTTAAATCGCTCGATTAGCGCGCGATAAATGGATAGTTGACAACTCAGGAGAGCTAGTTGATCAATCGAGGTGCTAATTGATCGATCGCTCGATTACTAGATTTCCACTTTCGTTACCAAATAATTGCAATCGAGTAAAAATCTAGTAGATAAATTGGGCGATACTAGATTTTTTTTATACTTTGAATTTGTTTCTTTTTATTAAAAACGCTTTGAGTTGAAAGAAAAGTAATTCTTTGTTTCTATGAAAATTCTTGGTTTGTATGAAAATCATGTACCATTATCTGGAAGAGATTGCGCTAATACTATAGATGCAGTGCATATAGTATGTAGCGTAATGTGTTTAGATCCAGTGTCTATATCATTTTTATTTGTCGTTTCGTTGCATAAAGTAAAAATTTTTTTGAATCCATTCTACTGTAGTTTCAGGTTAATTTCTGGCCGGATTTTATTTGCCAACAACATTTCTTTATAGAATGTCTGTAGAAGCCCAGATGTCCGTTTTGATAAAAATATTTAAATTAAAACCTATTTTTCTGCAAAATTTAAAAGGAGAATCTTTGCCCGTTCGTTTTAGTGCTGCAAAAACTTTTTTTGTAAAGCTGTTGTATTCTACATCACTCAATACAATAGCGATCATGAACATTATAATTTTTCTTGGTAATCGCATAATACGCTACTGGACAGGTCACGCGTTTATGCGCATCCATAAAAAATAGAAAATCATCGACTCTATTGAACTAAAACCATGTGATTCATTTTATGCATGTTCACATTGCACTACTAGTATAATATTTTTTCTCGTACGTATCCTGTTAGGAATCATTTAAATTTTGCTAGATGCTGTAGACCGGTTACCCGAACGATACGACATGTAGGAAACAATTAAGGTTTTCGAATGGTATATAAACCAATTGCTATGTATTATCTATTATCAGTGAAAGATTTTGATTATATTCAAAAGACTGTCGTGAGAAAACCTATCATTGAAAGAGTACGCAGTTTCAACCGAAACTAAAAGTTCAGAAATGTCTACTTTATAATTCTAGATACAGTTAGACTCGATATCTGAAAACTGCCTTTTGTTATTATTGTGTTCTTCTCAGTAGATATTATAGACTACTCAAAAAAAACATTTGTGTACGAAACCTAAAAGGGTATAGAGGAGTGCAGCCATTTCTAAACCCTATTAGGTTTCATAGAAAAGTGCGGTACGAAATCGTTTAAGTGCATAAATTCTATCGATTTTTTTCTAAGTGGACTATTTCAGCAGCTTAGACGTACTTTCATAGTATAAGGCGGCGAAAACTGAGCCAAAAAAGTATCTGAAACTTCTGTAATATTTGATTTTTCGCTAGAAAATCATGAGGAAAAAACATAACGAAATAAGCAAATGCGCATTAATCAATCGCTTCAATGCACCTGAAACGGCTTCGTACCGTACCTTTTCTTCTACGAAATCTAAAAGGGTTTAGACATGGTTGCACTTCTCTATACCCTTTTAGGTTTCGTACACAGACCTTTTTTTAGAGAGTATTGCACAATTGACTAAACGCTTACAACTATCTAACTCTTGACTTTCATGATCGATTGTGAAGGTTTGTGTTGAATATCATACTGGTTAACTGGCACTATGATCAGAGTTTCAACAGTTTCCATGAAATATATGCCATCATGCATTTTATTAGATGAAATCATATAATTATTACCTCGAGAACTAAATAATTCAGTAAGAACCATTAATGTAATATGAGAATTTGCATATATTGTAGACCATGAACGATTAGGCGTGGTTCTATTAATTTATCAAGTGTATGAAGGGTCTGTCTGCATGAGAAAATAAATATAATCTATTATAAATGTTCAAGTATTTGAAAATTTAGATATATATCTAAAAACACTGAGACTAATACACTTTTCTTTTTTTTATTTTGCAATTTTTTTCTAGGTCAACAATTCATTTTAAATGATTATTGTTCACAGTGTATGAGAACAAGTATTACTTGAATAAAAAAAAATCGAAAAAACTTGTAAGTTATCTAAAAGAATCCTATTTAACATAGTTGAATTAACTGATAGTTTTATAGATATAAGGATTCTTAAAGTCTATTGCAAAACACTTGTAACTTCAATGTCGAATGTTGAAACGTTCATTTTTCATCTAAAACATTGGCTAAAGTCATCGTTTACTAGAAATTGACTGAAAATGTCTTGCTTTTAGTTTGACTATTCAAAATATATGACCATCAAAAACAAAATTTACATGAAAATAGTCAATAAATGGCATTCAGATTGATTAAAAGTATTTATGTTGTCAAATGAATATATATATATATTTTATTTTTTGTCATGTTGTTTAATATATTTATGATCACTTTGTCGAATATGAAATATTTACTTCTCTTCTTCTCATATAACACAATATTATATTGCTCATTGAGTGAACAATTATCAATTGTTTTTCAATATATCATAACATCATTTTTTAACATAATAATTTTTAACATAATTTAAACTGAGAGACACAGGTATACATAAAACAAATTTAATCTGTCTATAGACAACGACAATATGTATACATGCATCTTAATTAAAAATATGACTTTTTGAACATGTCTATCGATACTTGAGAAAAATTTTGAGTTTATTTTACCAATCAACATAATTATTTAACATAATCATTCTATAGTTTATTAATCTCATAAAATCCACACCCTTTTTTACTGGATAAAGTAGACGACGGGTAAAGTAGTGTAATAATATGAATTGTCCTGAAAAATGAGAAGACAGATAGAAAATAATCTGTCCAAATTTGAAGTAAATATCTATGTGCATTATAATAGTAACTGAATAGCTATCAATTTTTCTGATAATCGAGCATCTTTCAACGAATGTAAAACTTCAAACGTTTTACTCAGAAGAAATTACTAAAATTTTTTTACTATTTTAATTGAATTTTTTACAGAAGAATCACAGATGTGATAAGACGAATAGTGAATATGTCTAATTACTCGATATAGAGTCTATACCCGTATATACCGTCTATTTGTGAATGCCAAGAGCAAATATATTCTCTATCTCTCTCATGATCGCATACAGAGGAGATTTTTGAATATTTTTGAGATGATGCACATATGTTAGAATATAAAAATATTTGAATGATAGTGTATTATTTTAATTAAGACGCGAGATATGTTCAACATACTAATTCAAATATTATTTCTCTATAACGTGTATATGTTATGTCTGATCTGTCAAAATACACTATTCTCTAATGAAGTATTGAACGTCGATCAAATCAAATCATAGAAAAAAATAGAATTTTAGAAAAAAAAAATTGAAACGCTTTGAAAATGATAAAAGAGAACACAGTAGATTGAGAATATAACTTTTATATTTTAATTGAAAACATCTCTATGTTTCATGAAAGAAAATGAAACCATCATTTTAACTTATCGCAAATGTGTAAAGTGATCAATCATACTATTATACTGTTGAAGCACGAACCATATAGTTACGTTTAGATCAAAAATCAAGGATACATGATAGTTCAAGGTTTTTTATGGATGAACTTTTAAACTTTTTCGAGTGTAATAAATGATATCACAATCTCAATTGATTAGAAATTTTATCAGAAAATTTTTGAAAAATATTAAGTTAAAGATATATATAAACGTTAACAGACTATAATGGTTAATGTATCATGTTTATATCTTTCTCGTTGTTAAAAGTTCAAATAGTAGACATGACAATAAATTATCTAATCAACTGATGACAATAAGACAAAAACTAGTACCATGTTCTTTTTTTTTATCGGTATCATCGTCGAAAAGTGTATTCATATACATATACGTGTTTTGTTCAATTTTTATGTTAAATAAATATATAGTAATTTGATAACGACATTGTCCACGACAACGACA